GATTCATTTCCATCTACTCAGTTTTTGATTGAAGGAGTGCCTGAGATAAAAGTCAAAGCATGTGAAACCTAGAATGGAAATGGACATGCAAAAATTGTCATTATTTATCAGAACTGTCAGAGATTACAGGGTAAATATTTTTGAATGCAGTTTCAGAAGAGGCAAGTTTGGCAACCAACTTAAGAAAATCAATGCAATGTTGTTCTTGTAGTTCATGTCTGTCAGTTTGGATACCTTTCAGTAAAAAATGAATTCAGAATACACAGAGTTAACAATTTAGACTATTCAATTCCTAAATTAGCAATAAAGGATCCTCGATGGGAAGATTAATCAAGAAGAAACAGGCACTTTACATCAATATAAATGCTCATGAGTATTTTTTATCCCAGGCAATGCCTTGAAAACCCTTGATAAACGTTTCTCCTTGTGCATTTCCAGGTGTATTTTCTCAGTACTCTTCATTGACCCATTTCGTTATCTGATCCAATGCCAAAGATTTTAGTACCCATTACAGCTGATTCAGGGCCCATATACGAATTATTAAGATGGATGTGAATCAGCGGAGCGGTTAGCCTGAATATGAATTTCTACCTGTACAACTCCCGTCACATGTTTGGTTTTTAACCAGTTTGTACATCAGATGTTTCTGTACAGCATGTTCTTGGGGTCACATTTCACGGTTAGTGACTTCAAATGTAAATTTTGGGTTAAAAGTTTCCTGTAGCTTATGAACATTTTTAATGTTTTTTCCTTGACATATTACGATATTTGTCAATACAGATTGATTAGATTACTAAGACGGAATATCCGAGATGAAATTTGACAATATCACCATTGACAAACGATTATTTTGAGTTTTGGAAATTACCTTGGTTCTTCTTCATTTTATTGAAAGCAAACAACTAATTTTGAAAAAGAAAGAACTGAAAAAATGTAAATCTGGGATTGATAAAACAAAACTGAAACTACTAACTTATGCAAATTGAATTTGAAATATCAAAAATCAATTATTACAAGCGGAAGGAGAAGAAGAAGAAGCAAAAGAAGAAGCAGTTATCAGAAGAATATCAAATAACATTAACCGAAATAAAAAAAATTGGAATGACTTCCTAATATGACATTAATTATGGTGAAAAGGAGTTTCATCGAAAGTTTTTGGTTACTAGGGATTTGAATTGAATTTTTCAGTTAACCACAAGTTTTCTACAAAGACCAAAATTTGTGCAGTTTGAGGATCAACAAGATCTCATGTTTCGTTATGTTTATAGACTTGTTAGACGTTCTAGGCAATACTCTAATATTGAATTATGGGGTTTCAAGGTCGTGTTTTTGTAAAACTTTTTTTGACGTTTCATTACTGAAGATGCTTAGCAAGCGTGCCAGCAAAATGTAAGGAAGAAATTTCAAATCATAATGGTCCTCAAACCTAACAAAAAATACTGCTTTGGTTTCAAAGTGTATATCTTAGCACTAAGAAACAACAGAAGGTAATTCAGTCATTGATATTAGGTCAAAAATGAATCAGGTTGAATATCAGTTTCTCATTTTTCACTATTTTATCTTCAGAATAAATTTGTAATCAATCCTTCATACGGACATTAGATCATTCTAGTACTCTTGGTTAATGGCCGGCTTAACAACGAAACATGATTTTAATAATATTAACAATAATCTTATTCACCATCAGTAATACCGAGAACAACATAAAAGATATGATATGAATATCCTTTCCCCTTTCACATTTCTTGAAAAATTTTATATAAACGGATAAATAATTTCAGTGACATTGCAGAGGGTTTCCCTGGTTCGTACCTATTTATGGCGAACATTTTTGTAAACCATTGCGAAAAGAAAACCAAAATCACTAGACACTCGATTTTATTTAAAAAACGTTTAATGAAATGGCTAATCTTCTTCTTCTGATTTTTTTGATTATTTCACGAAATATATGCAGTGTTTTCCAATGATGTCTTATATATTGAAAAATATATGTTTAAAATATGTTTTTCCAATAACCAGCTGTCGCACCCCTATGAACGACAACTCTCAGAAGCCTAAACTTGTGCGAGCTATGGACTAACGAGGTCTTACCATTCAACGTGTTATTCCTAACAAGGGTTAGACGATAGCAAGTGAAAATAGATCGTTCAGCCTACGGCTTGAACCACCGTCTAACACATCAGTCGATTGGGTGAGTGATCAAAGCATCCACGTCGAACCGACCGGCTGTCGACCGACGACTGGAAGACTGATATTTATTTTTTTTCCCCAAGAGTAAGCCGGTCGGGCTCTTTTCCCGGAGCTCCAACAGCAATATCAACTAATGATCACTCCCCATACCGTGGAATAAATGATCATTGAGCCCATTATTTATGTGCCTTAAGCAGACGCAATGCGTCGATAATAACAGTCTTCTTGAGATTTGACAGTGTAGAGTATTATCATTGTTATTATTATTATTTTTGCAAACTAAGCCCCGACACATTCAGGAGGGCGCGACAGCATTATCAACCAACGACCACTCCCCACACTGTGAGGTAAGTGACTATTAGGTCCGAGAATCATGTGCCCTAAGCAAGTGTAGTAAGCCAATAATGACAACCTTCTGCATTTGTCTGGTTAGATTTTTGCCTTAGTGCGGCAAGCCAGCATGATCTTAAGATTCAAGAGTAGAGAGGCCATCATTCCACCAAGGACTCCAATAATCAGAACAACCATCTTGACTGAGTGATCTGAATATAATCTGCGAAAATCGAAGAAAAATTATAAATATCGTCTTGCTCTGGTGGTCGAAAAGGACTACATAAGTCATATTAGCTTGTATGAGCCTGAGGTTGGTGAACGAATAGTTCCAAAAAATTCCACACATCTCCTTCCTATGGCGTAGAGCAACAACGCTATCGTGTCAATACCGTAAAAGTGCCATATGTGGTGATAAAGCCCTCTTAGGGTCGCTTTATGTAGTTGAATATAGGCTGACACGGTATATGCTGGAAATGCTGACAGCAAATGTATTAGAGTCTCGGACAGGCCCTGTACCTTGTGTCAGAAAGCTCTATACCCATACGCGACTACGGTAGACTAGTTGAAGACATCATCCTGTCCGGTCATGATAAATCCCACAGTTTCCGACCCCAGCCCACTCGATCTGAGGATAGCGAAGGTCAGGCGCTTTAATAAGTCAAGGTTTTCAGTATTGTAGGAGAAGACCCCATCCTTTGGCTAATTTGTGTGTTGCCGCAGGAGTGAAGTGATCTCTGCGGCTTTTATATGGGTCTTTTGCTGAACGGGTTCCAACTTTTCGGAAACTGAACCAACTGTTCGAGAGGCTCCCTAAAAAAATACTTCAATTTCTGCTCTTTTATGGTCAAGGACCATGCAGAGAAGGGGATCCGAATTCCTAATGACATTGTAGGTTTCATTCAGTACCATTCTTTCATGTAGGCACTACAATCTCAGAAGTATACTTTCTCCCTGTTGTCGGGAGAAGTACAACCGTGGAACGTGCGATACAAACTCCTTTAGAGGTGCATTATTTTTCTTCGAATTGATGAAGCTCCTCCCGACTCCATTTCACTACTCCAAACGAGTAGAGTGAGATTGGATCGGCAAGCATACTCGTTGCAGCAACTTTGTTCTTTCCCGATACTTTCGATGACCAGATCTGTTAGAGTTTGTACTGATACTTGCCACGGTGAGAGTTCCTCACAGCTGTCACGTCTTTGAGTGGTGTTATTCCACCTCGAGGTCTCTCCGGCATCCAGATGGTGCAGGATGCTTCCAACATCGAGCTGTACATCCTCTCCGTAGTTCCCCACATCGTCCTCTTTTGAGATGGACGGTTGCACATTTGTCTATCCCGAATTTCATACGGATAGCCACTTTCAAGAACTGATGGAGAGACTTTTCTCCAGAGGCTTGAAACAAATGGGTGACCTTGAGCCTCCGGTTCCCAGGGGTGCCATAGTTATACCTTCGAGTATTTCTGGATGCAACGAATAATGACAATTGTCAGAAGAGAAGGGGACTGAGGGAATCGCCCTGGAATATACCCCTTCTGAAAGTTACCCACCCTGTTCGAACTCTAGCCTGATCAGAAGTTATGGTAAAGCGAGTCTGCTAGAGTGGTATCAGTTGTTGAAGGCATCTCACTATAATGTCGGGTACCGCAAGTCACCTGAGCAAATGCAAGATGAGCTCATGCGATGTTGTATCAAATGCTTTGCGGTAATCTATCCAGGCCATAGAGAGGTTACGTTTATTCTGTATCGAGTCCTGAGTTACACATATATTGATGAGCAGGTTCTCTTCTAATCCAGAGATCATTGCCATTACCATCATTATTATTATTTCAATTCTCAAATATTTATTATGCAAATTTGAAATTTTGAGGCATTATATAGGGACTGTAGAATCTGAAAAGAATTTTTGTCGTCTGGAAATGTTCAAAGTCTCCAGAAAAAGCTGCAGAGAGATGGATTAATTTTGATCAAGTGTCTACTAATAAACGGTGCGGATGTTCAGTGAGTAGCCATGTACTTATTTTTATTCGATTCCTGCTTTATTGAAGCATTTCGTGTTAGGAATTACCCGTTTTAAGGTAAGACCTCATCAGTCCTTAGCACGCACAAGTTTCGACTTCTGAGAGTTGTCATTCGTAGAGGTGCGACAGCTGGTTAACGGAAAAACATATTTTTTTTCAAACATTTGAAAGAGCACGTTTACACCAATATTTCATTATTTACGCCTACTATAACTTACTGACAAAACTGCACGAAATTTGTTACAACCGTCATCAATGATTATTTCCGTCGAAGTATTTTTCTGTACAGTTTTGTGAGATATCTTCTGTCCAACATGTTTGTATAATATTGAAAAATGAGTTACTCGAATATGTGTCAAGAGCTCTTCGAATCCCAAAATGATATTCACTGAAGGTAATATTCCTTCACTTCAATTCTCATAAATATATTGTTTACAGGTTATATGACAGAGAGGGTAACGGATATATCACAACTGGAACACTCAAGGAAATCCTTGCCGCTCTTGATGACAATTTGACGAGCAGGGATTTGGACGGGATCATCGCTGAAATTGATACTGACGGTTCCGGAACTGTTGATTTTGATGGTAAGAGACTGACAGGTTGAACTAGAAATAATTGATAGTTTTTAGTGATGGTTTATTTTTATTATTTGAATCCGAATTTAATATTGTTATGAATGTTGTAAAGCTACAAGTAGTGAACTGGAATGATATAATATTCCATTTCATTGATCTCCATTGCCAGAATTTTTTTTGAAATTTTTTGGTCCTGCAGTTATGAATTTCTGTCTTCTTGTTTGACGACAAATGAGTTCATTGAATTGATTTCACTTAGAAACAGCTGAATATTCATTTCACATCCACAATTATTGGTAACAGGATAACAAATATGGAAACATTCTACTCAGGATAACTGATCTGTCAATTGAAGAATATTCAGTTTTATCACTAAAATTTTTGTATCAGTATGTAACTCAAAAAAACTTACTTATGTTTCAGAATTCATGGAGATGATGACCGGCGACTAAACAATTTCCAGGACAATTAAGGAAAATGAACTTTTAGTATTTAGCAAAATTCCAGTTTACAACACTTGATAAAAGACAATGAAGACCTATATATGTGTGAATAATTCAAATGTGGCATTCTTCCTTCGCATGTTGTGATTAAATTGTTTTTCAACATTGTGTTTTAATGGTATGTGCAGATACTTCATTGAAATATTAAAACAGAACAGAAAAATCATAGAACTCTATTATTTCTTCGAATGGATTTTTTTGTTGCCAGGAATCATCATCAAAAATTCAAGATTTCTATTTGTAACTATAAAATCAAACCATTTCTGACGAAATGATTCTTGATAAGCATATTTTTTATAATTTGATATAGTGCAAAGTGGACTATTCTCTGCTGACTACAATGCCACGTAGTTGGTTGAAATATCACGATATGTTCTAGTGAACAAGGGCGTAAGGCAGTGTGCGTCACCAAAATTTAAACAAAACGAGTATAAATAGAGAGGGTTATATTTTTAGGACTGACTGATTTTTTGGGAAAGAAAGTTTTTGGCTTCTTACCACGCCTTCTTGATACATTTTTTGTATTTCGTCTTCCTTCCACATTGGTTACCGTGACTGACTTGTTTCCGTATCATCCAAGTTTATTAGTTCTTCCAAACTTGATTGATATCTTTCATAACAGATGGTGCTAACAAATGTCATGTCAGTTTGTTTTCTATATATATATA